CCGGCTCTGTGAATAATATCAATTTTGAACCCTGAAGAACCAATTCGGGTTTAATCCCCAGAGACAGCATAGCGTTGACTAGAATATGGCCGTCAAAGCCTTTTGAATTGTGAGCTAAAAACACTGCTCTGCGATAGTGGGGGCTTCTAAAGTGCATTAGAAATTTCACAGCGCAATCTGGCCTGAAATGATCTCATTTCACATCGCTCGCTGTTATTGCGCTCACATAAAATGGTACGTGCACACCGTTATCATCGGGGTATGTTTCAAAGTCGTAGAATATTAATTTCTTAGCAGGAATATGATCCGCTTTTTCAGGCATGGGTAGGCTCTGCATATAACACTTATGATTATCATCAGCATCATCATAAATTACGCCTCCGCAGGTGTAGCAGGGGGACTCGGGGCATTTGTGGGGCTTAGTCTGTTTACTCAGAGGAATGTAATACAGTCTCAAGCATTTTAAGCATTTTTTATGGATTAGGCATAGGCTGGCATGCGTTTCAGCGTGGGGGTGCCAGGTCATCTCCCTGTGTTTCATGAGACAGTAAGATGATGCGCATAGTCTGTTTCAGCGGTCACACACAACACTCTCAGCGGGAAGCGTTTGCATGCCTGCGCAGTAGGTGGTAAAACAAACGTTACAGTGCCCTGAGCACCTGTGTCCCAAATGATTATCATAACCTCTGTGGCAGAACATGCAAAAACACTTGGAGCCGATGAACGCACAGGGGTTTTTTACACCGTAATAATGGTTGTCAAATAGGAACATGTATAACGGCAGATCATTTGGAGCGCTAGAGGTTTGAACAAATGTTTTGTATGCCTTTTTGGGGGCGGGACAAAGCTTCTGATTGGATAACCTTTCACCTAGAACTGTCAAATCGAGTTTGATGAAAGCCGGTATCTATACTGTGTGTGTCATTTTTCATGTTATCTTACCATTGCTGTTGGTTGTGTGCGTGGGTGAACCGATGAAGCTGGGACGAGGGATGTGGATGCGTCCCACCATGCTGGGCTGCTCATCCGGCACCTTTCCATCTCGCTTCTCCTCCTCATCCTCCTCCCCGCTGTCCCACACACTGCTCTCAGATGGATACTCGTACGTACTCTGGAGACTCGACTCATTGAAGGAGATCTTTAGCTGAAAGAGACAAAGATAATTCTGTGTAAACGATCATCTCTTGTCATTGACATGTTTTCAAACTGCAAGGATGTGAATATTGTTCATTTTCTGGCTACACTATGTCTGCTGACAAAGACCCTGAAGTGCACTTTTTGGTAAAAAAAAAAAAAAAACTCTTCTAAAGAGTTATTTTATTCAATTCCAGTGTTTGTTATAGTTTCCCTACCGTAAAAATTCCCTAACTTCTCCAAGATTCTTGAATTGAGGGATCTATAGTAAAAACTGTCTTTAAATGCATCAGCAATGCAGCATTTTATAATTATGGAAAATGAATGGACAGTGAGTTTGAATTCACATTTTCCATTTCTTTGGGGAGCCCTTGGGGAGTCACATTTGCACTGCATTTTATGAGCACAGTAAACACTAATGTGTTATTACTTCCTTATTGCTGTGTAATACTGCCATCTGTATTATCACACATCTCAGCCATTTGCTCAAAGTGCAGTAATGTCAGTTTAGCTCCACACTCATAACTTATTTAACAGAGCCTTGAATTTGGATTCCTGGAGAGCCAGCTGCAGTTTGTTTACACCTGTCTGAGTGCATGTGCTCTACTCTGTATGTCGTCTATGTGGCACAGGTGGCATCCTTGTGGGAGCTCAGGGCCCGTGATTGATCGTCTCACAGTGTTTGCTGTAAGATGTGTCTGTTTGGCAATGCTCCAGTGGTCTATAGACATGAGTCCATGGGGTGAGACGCGCCCTCGCACTTTGCTGCGCCGTGTCATCCGGCATGAATAACAACTGAGCAGCCAGAAACGTCAGCAGAGCACATTGAGTGGCATTTATTCTCAAAGGAGACATTTCACCTCGCGCCTCTAGCTGAAGAACGTGACTGTTTCTCCAAGAAGATTCTGCTACAGAAAGGTTTTCTGGATATTAAGGTACTTGCTGTTTTAAGGTTTGTGAGAACGCAATCCATGGACATCTGTCAAATTGTAAGAAACCAGATAACATTACCAATAACTACAACATGCAACTCTTGATTACTGTTCACATGCAGTATATCATATACTTCATGTCATCCCTGGTTTGTAAGTTTTTGTTCTTCTTCAATTGTTGACTTTACTTGATCACCTTTACCCATGCCTTTATTTTGTATGATCTCACGTTGTGGTGCTGTCTGCAGTTCTGTTTGTGCGCTCACAAACCTAAAGGCTGATGCTGTAAGAAGGACCATAAACAGTTTCTTATAAGTTACTATAGAAGACTTCATGTGCTCTGGCCACATGTATGTGTTGTAAACTCAGAAGGCTTTATGTTTTCCTTCAGAGTTGCCATGGAGATGACAGCTGACACACATATATAACCGCAGGTTTTACCATGCTGTCCCTGAGGCCATCAGCTGACAGCTTTTAATTACCGTACCTGACTCCATCTACTCTGCAGGCCGTGATCTAACTCTGCCCTAATCTCCATCACAAGGCTACAAAGCCATCAGTGCCACCTCTGACTCAAGAGCATTCAGGGATCGCGCTTAACTTCAGAAAGTCTCATTACCATGCTTCTTCTCTATCCTTTATGACTTCTTAATGATCTGTCTCTGTAATTATGGTGAAGTCTCTGATGGTAGGTAGTTTGTTGCATCATAAAACATGAAAAACACCAGAGAGCCTGAATGTCTGCAAATGTGCAGAGAACCTCAACTTTTCTTTATTTTAAATTATGTCCCAGTTATTAGGCTCCAGAACTTAATACCTTGGAAATCTATTTTCCTCTCTCAGCACTGGGGTAACTACAGACTGCTGACAAATTAAAGGAGAAACCTTGTCTCTTCCACGATGACAGTGCTCCCAGCCATAAGACACGACGGGTCACTGAATGCTCTGATGAGTATGAAAATGATGTGAATCAGATGCTGTGGCCTTCACAGTCACCAGATCTCAGCCAAGTTGAACACCTATGGGAGAGTCTCCACCACCATCAAATGCCACATGTGGGAATATCTGTTGGTAGAACAGTGTTCATCCTTCCAGTAGAGTTCAGAGACTTGGAGAATCAACACTGAAGCTGTTTTGGCCCAACACCTTCCTCAGACACTTTATGCTGGCTATTCAGGTATACAGAACAGTACCTACCTCTAAATAAAATAGCAATTTTTAGACCCAAAGTCTAGAGATTTAAGAAATAAAAGTCTACAGATCTATGAGGAGGCTCTAAATTAGGGACAAAGGTTTGTAGGTTCAGGATGAAGGTTTATGTATTAGAGACTAATGACCTATAGATTTGACAGACGAGGGTTTATAGATTCAAATCAGGAGTCAACTGATCAAAGATGATTTATAGATTATAGACAAGGATCACTAGCTGTAATATGAGTTTATGGACGGAGCTTGGAGATGGAGTATCTCAGCATGGATGATCTGTACAGCAGAGGAGTGTGTTGATAGATTCTGGTTGAAAATCTAGAGTAAGGATGAGGGTCTAGAAATGATGGACAAGGTAGTCTATAGATGAAAGACAAAGGTCTGTAGAGTAAGAACAAATTCAGAATGAGGGTCTAGATTTCAGATGGGGCTGTAGATTTGAGAAGAAATTCTACAAAAGAACACTAAGAACACTAACTGTAAATGACTATAGATTTAGGATGATAGTCTATAGATTCTCATCATCTCCACTGGATCTTCACTGTCATACTCTGGTTATTTCACTGTTGCCAATATCTGATTAGAGCAGAAAAAAAGAGCAAAAAAATAATTAGATCTCATTCATTTATTCTGAAGTATGTGAATGTTTAGTCACATTGTTCAGCTACATCACGTTTCTTAAGATTGTAAGGTAAGATTTGAGTAAAAATGATCATATACGAACCCTGTTCTCCTAGTTGGAAAAACAAGATGGCAAATAAAACAATGAAAATCCAGGCTTTCCTTTAGAGGAGACTGCATATAGAAGTTTGATCTTAAAGGCAAACTGTAGACATTAATGAAAAGGGAAAAAATATTCAAATGATAGCCCACGTACTGTAAGAGCACTGATCGTTCAATATTGTCAAAGCACAAGTAACAACAAAACAGTTTTCCTGACAGCCAAGAAAAAACATTGGTAATTCAGTAACATCACAATCCACAATACACACAGAATCCTATGTATAGATGGAGATTCTGGCGCTATGTTACCATCACCTATTTTCAGCTCCCCAAAAATTGTGGGTAACAGAATGGAGATCTTAATATAAAGGCCTCCCATCCTGCTGCTGCTCATGCTACAGCTGTGTCTTTTTCACCTCTATAATAAAAGAGGCAGGAGTGACTAGTCTTCTGCCCTCATGCTATGGCATACACCAACAGGGGCCTGACTCAGGCCTGCTGTCCTTCTCATTCACCTCAGAGGGCTCAGACAGGATGCTGCGGTGTCGCAAGGCCACTAACAACTGACTATGTTGTATTTAGCAAAGACTGTCTGTGTATTGTAGCATTAATGTGACTGTGTGAGTAAAAAACTGATGCTTTGCATCTGGTCACATTAAAATAAACTGAGGGGAAATGTTTTCTCTAGCCTATCCCTTCTCTAACTTGCTTTGAAAACAGCACAGGAAAATCCTGTTCAGGAGAACACTTTTTTTCAGTATTTCAAAGTATGTTTATGTATAGTATAGTTTATACATGTCATTCCATATGTAAAGGAAATCCCATGTGTGTTCAATAAGAGTTTTAAAAGCATGCGACTAACAAAGTCTTAAAAGTTCACTTACATCCTGCTGATCTGGAGTGGCAAGAACACGACATGAATAACATGCATGTATAGTACAAGTTACTTATTGACCCCATTTGCATTACAAATATGGCACTGAGCAGTGAAGAAATCTGGAGTGTTTAATCATTAAGATTCAGTGACACTGAAACTTCTCATGCAGGAAGAAGTGGGTTATTTGAGTATATAATAAAAGTGGAATTGTATATATTGCATAATGTGAAAGATATGGTTTTTTTTTTAGTTCAGCCCATTTCCTTCTGTTTTTTGTTTTTCTGGGTGTGACTGTGGATTCACTTCATTTCTTTCCTCCATTTTAAATGTAGGTTTTATACTGCATGTGACATCAGAGTTAACAATAAAGGAGAAGTTAAGAAAATTGGTGGGAAGATGTTAAACAGGGGAAGACAAAAATCCTAAGAACAGAATTAAACTGTTCAAGAAGAAGTGGAATCAGTTCAGCTCTGTGGTAGATTTTTTTTGCCTGCTCTGAAAAAGAGTTTTGAGGATGAACAGAAAATGAAAATGGCTTGTCAGGACTGTGACTGCCTGCTGCAGCAGTTTCAGCACCACCACACAGACATGAGATGGAAAGACACTGAGCTGGGTAAATAATATTTCTGAGGAAATTTATTCCACAAGTTCCTTTCACACACGTTTCATCAGCTGTTCACACATTATGTATGAGGACAGACAAAAGAAGACATGAGCGAGAGAGGACGTGGAGAGTCAGTAGATGAGATTATGTCTTCATGAACTTAGGCCGATAAGGAAATGGGAGCAGTGCCAGGAATATTTTTCCAGGCCACCCGGCATGGCGTGGCCTCATTTGGTTTGCTAGTAACTGGACGGGCACAAACACATGCATACAATGATCCTGTTGAAGTCAAAAACTGCAGAGTTACAATGAATCTACAACACAGCGACACAGGTCTCGCTAACAGCTGTGGGTATAGCAACATGTGAGCACTTGTGTTCACATGATGTGCAGCTCACTGGGTGTGCATCTCTTTAAAATGTGTAAACATTTTTCTCAATATTATCAGATGATATAGGGTGTGGTGTATACAGTCATGGTGGTATTGGGTGTGCGCCTGCTGATCCAGGTGGCTGAAGTCAAATTTTCTGCCAAAACGCTGTGCCCTAGTGTGTAGTGATTTGGAGAAGCCCGGCCAGGTGTACGATTAGAGCTAATCTCCAGCCAGATAGATAATATTAGAACAGCACCACCTGAAGAGTTTAGCTGCAGCTCCATTAGTGCCTGAA